TCAAAGCGGGAATAAGAGTCTTCACTCCACCGAAACCTTAAACATATTTGTTACCGATACGATGTTGGAAGCCATAGACAACAAAAATCTAACGGCACTAATTTTATTGGATTTATCCAAGGCATTTGACAGTATCAGTCATTCGATTTTATTACACAAATTGAGTTGTATCGGTGCTTCACCCGAAGCTGTTAAATGGTTCCAAGACTATTTAACAGGCAGATCCCAATACGTGCGCATTGGATCCACCAAGTCATCAGCTCGCCCGATAACCCATGGCGTTCCACAAGGTGCAATACTATCACCACTTCTGTTTTGCATCTATATTAATGATCTGCCAGGGAGCATACAATCGTGTAACCTTGATTCATACGTAGACGACTCAAAGCTTTACAAATCATTCTGCATCTACGACTTGGAACAGACAACTATCTATTTAGAGGCAGATCTACAAATAGCAGCCAAGTGGTGTTTGGAGCACCAATTACTGATCAATCCAGAAAAAACTAAATTCCTTGTAGTCGGTTCAAGACCCATGCTGCAGAACGTACCTACAGAAATATCGCTAACATTTTTAGGAAAGACTATAAGACCTGTTTTATTAGCTAAAGATTTGGGAATCAATTTGGATTCGTACCTATCCTACGACGACCACATATCTAAACTCGTTTCGTCGTGTATGAGAAAATTATGTCAAATAAATCGCGTGAAGGATAGTTTCGATAATGAAACATTAAAATTGGTCATTGAGACACTTGTAATTAACAAGCTTCTGTACTGCTCTACGGTGTGGTCCAACACGTCATCTAACAATATCAATAAACTTCAATCAGTGCAGATTGCAGAACTTCGCGTGCAGAGTTATATCAGGGTAGGAAAGTTCGATCACATAACTCCGGCGTTGCGCGAACTAAATTGGTTGCCAGTGGAAAAGTTATTATTGGAAAGGGATACTGTAATGGCTTACAAGTGTTTTAATGGACTTGCACCTGACTACCTAGTAGATAAATTTATAAAGCGTTCCGACATACATGATCGATCGACAAGAAATCATGATCTCTTGGACATCCCTCTGTATAAATCTGCTGCAGGTCAAAGAACATTTAATTACCGGGGTGTTAAAATATGGAATGACTTGGATGATAAACTAAAAAATATTACATCAATAACAATTTTTAAGAAAAAACTTAGGAAGATTTTACTAAAAGAATCCTATTAAATACATTTAATATTTCATACTCTTTGTACATATTTTAACTAATTTTAAATAAGTATATGTAACATAGGTAGTTTTAGAAGTAATTTATAGTAATTTTAAGATGTAATGTAGTGTTGAAAAGCCCTTAGGGGAACACGCAATAAAGTATCTATCTATCTATCTATCATAGGCATGCCGAAGACAGTCAACGGCATAAGCATCTAAGTTGAATGGCTATGCCGACGGCATAACCATCCAAGTTGAATGGTTATGCCGGAGACATTCAACTGCATAACTATCCAAGTTCGAAGACATTCAACATCAAAACTATCCAACGGCATAAAAATCGAACTTGAACGTTCATGCCGAATACAGCTTCTCCAATTAATATTGGATACATTTCAAGTCAACAAAATGATTTTTGTAGGACGTGAACCACAATGGTACATTACACAGCGTGTAGTCTTTACCACTGGTTCGTTGTTGGAAGCCTGCCGCAACTTATTCACCTTAACCGTTTTTCTCTAGCTTGTGCTTTTAATATACGATATACATTTCAAACGATACATTTCAAACGAACCGTTCGACTTGGATGGTTATGCCGTTGACTGTATTCGGCATAACCATTCAACTTATATACAGTCAACGGCATGAGCGCAATGGTTATGCCAAGCGCAATGGTTATGCCGTAGACAATCAACGGCATAACCATTCAACTAGGATGGTTATGCCGTTACTCTCGTCGGCGTAACTATCCAAGTTGAATGGTCATGGCGAAGACAGTCAACGGTATAACCATTCAACTTATGTTCGGCATAAACATTGATCTTAGATGTTTATGCCGTTGAATATGTTCGGCATAAACATTCAACTTAGATGTCTATGCCGTTGAATAGGCTACGTTTGAATGGTTATGCCGAGGACAATCAACGGCATAGCCTTCCAAGATGAATGGTAACGTTATGCCGAAGACAGTCAACGGCATAACCATTCGACTTGGATGGTTATGCCTTTGACTGTATTCGGCATAACCATTCAAAGGAAGCCTATCGCAAGTTATTCACCTTAACCGTTTTTCTCTAGCTTGTGCAATTAATATACGATACATTTCAAACGAAGCATTCGACTTGGATGGTTATGCCGTTGACTGTATTCGGCATAACCATTCAAGTTATGTACACAGTCAATGGCATAACCATCCAAGCGCAATGGTTATGCCGAAGACAATCAACGGCATAACCATTCAACTAGGATGGTTATGCCGTTTACTGTCGTCGCCGTAACTATCCAAGTTGAATGGTTATGCCGAAGACATTCAACGGCATAAGCATTCAACTTATGTTCGGCATAAGCATTCAGCTTAGATGTTTATGCCGTTGAATATGTTCGGCATAAACATTCAACTTAGATGTTTATGCCATTGAATATGTTCGGCATAAACATTAAATGTCTATGCCGTTGAATATTTTAGAATGGTTATGCCGAAGACAATTAGTGGCATAGCCACCCAAGTTGAATGGTTATGCCGAAGACAATCAACGGCATAACAATTCGACTTGGATGGTTAAGCCGTTGACTGTATTCGGCATAACGATTCAAGTTATGTACAGTCAACGGCATAACCATCCAAGCGCAATGGTTAGTGCCGAAGACAGTCAACAGCATAACCATTCAACGTCGTCGGCGTAACTATCCAAGTTGAATGGCTATGCCGAAGACAGTCAAAGGCATAACCATTCAACTTAATAACGATTATATAAATAATTTATTATTATAAGTGAATTAGCATTATTTGCGCGTGGTCATGACACAGCATATTGCAGTATAAAGCTATCCCTACCTGTATCACCCTTCTTTTGCGTAGATGTGATTTATGTAAAGTCATACTAAACGCCCTAGTTGCATGGCCATGCAGAGTATAAATGTGGAGAATTTGTCATAAATATAGTACATTCTAATGGATTCGTTGTTAGTCATTTTATTGGGCATATCGGTACGCTACACTGAGACCTGCAAGTTCAATTTATTTCACACTATTTAACATATACATTACATTAGACGAGATATTCATAATATAAATTCGGTATAAATACATAAAAAAATTAAATTAAGATATTCAAATTGTGTACGATGGCCAAAGTAGCAAAAGCTTTCGAGTTGACCACCGTAATTCTCTAAAAGAATCTGTTTGCTTCAATATATATTTTGAGCTTTATGTTTTCTGGTTCCGGTATACAGGGTATGTGCTTTGCCAACAATATCTGCAATTACATTGGCACTGACTGATATTGCCGTTGGGGAATCTGCTCCCATTCAAACTATACGTCCTACATCCTGTGATAGATCATCTCACTCTAAATTATTCAAGCGTTTCATTATTATTTTATTGCCATTGTTTTCGTATTGTTAACAAAATGTCGTGATAGATGGCGTATACAGGGTGTGTAAAAAAAAAACGAAGTCCAAATTTTGTGCTTAATAACTTTCGGACTGCTATTTCTAATAAAACGGTTTTAGGCTTATTTTAAAGCCTGTTCATTTATCTTTCGAACAAATGGTCATCCGTGTCTTTAGTGCAAGTAATAACTGCACAGGAGAAAATTTAGTAAAACCTATCATGTTTAGATGCCGCTTAATTATTGTTATTCCATAGTCGGTTGCAATGTTTGAATTTTCTTGTTCAAACTTTAATGTTCTTGTTGCCACATCAGAAAAACTAGTAAGAACTTGTTAAAAACATTCTAAAAGAGTTAAGTTTGTTATATTTATTTCAAAATCCTAAATTATTTCCAGAAATCATCAAAACAACCTTACGTCCATGCATCGTCCGAACGAGCACCATCGAATCGGGCCGTAATATAAATATAAATTAGCAAGTTGACGGCAAGCTAAACACGCTTCAGCCGGTATTATAACGCATTAGAAGTCAGCAAGTGAATTTAAAATAGTGTATTGGAAGCTATTATTACTTGATTTTTACAAGCAATTGCCAAAATGCCTCAATTTTCTCGTTTTGTTGACAAAATAAGTTATTTTCATCAAGTACCGGTTTGTTATTGCATCTCCAATTTTTGACTCTCCAATCGCAATCACTTAAAATATTATTATTCACGAACGTCTGGATTATATTTACGAAACAACCCACCGTTGGAGAGCTGAATGTCTACGCTTTAAAATAAATGTAAACCTGAACGTTTTGCTTTAATATTCGTTTCGAAATTTATATTTGAATCGAGGACTCCGTTTTTTATGATACACCCTGTAGAGTAAAGGGTAGAGTAAAGTGTAAAATTGCATATTTTTGTCAGTGTTTCAAACGATCTTGTAATAACTTTAAATTTACTTGATATGGTAGGTAAATACATACCTAGAGCAGACAAAAGTTCCATTGTCCTCTCAGGGTCTTTATGTGAAAGATGTTCTGCTTTCTTCAGTTCGTCCTCCATCTTCTCTTTTTCTCTTTTCCGACCAAAATGCGCATGCTCATTGCTTTAACTGAATCGAATACGAGTTAAGCACACTATGGTGTTTTGTCCAAGTCCAGTACTGGCCCAGTATCACTAGAGAAACGTAAGGTATAGTTTTTACTGCGCATATCTAGCGGTTAGGTTCTTAGCATGTGCCCTAAAGAGAGGCAGTTATCTCGCGACAGTTAGTGACTTGACATTGCCAAAAATTACGTGCTATTTTAAGATCACACTTTCAGGAGAAAAGTGCAACTGAACTTTACCGGCAATTAAAAAAAATTGTACAAGCACCTGAATAGAGTCCGCGGAGTTTCCTGATAAGAGCTCTAGACCTGCGTCAAAAGGTCGTATTTGCCTCCAAAGAAGCAGGAGTAAAGATCAAGTATGATGGAAGTCTTGTTCAAGGACTGTTTTTACACTTGCTGGAAACCGGACTTCATCATGAAGCTGTAAGAAAAAAGCTACGACCATTCTTACAACAATCAGATATAATTGATGAGTCAGGCACGTCAACGAAAAATCAACAATGTTCAAGCAGTTACGCCCAGTTCAGCTGATGTGGAAGAACCCATTGAGCAAGATCTTCTAGACCAAGTAGGAAAAGAAAAGAAAGTGTCCAAGCAAGGTGAGTTAGTTCCTGCTCTAAGACAGTAAAAGTAGAACTTGCTGAGCTTAGGGAAACTCTTACAAACCAACAAGCGAATGCCAAGGAGCAAGAAACTGGGTATCATGGAGACCAAGCGGGTCGTAGGGGAAGATCAATGTACAAAGTGCCAGGAAACCAAAGAACTAAACTGTGACCACTGTTTTCGATGTGGTCGGTTCAGACAACTTTGCCAGAGGAAGTAAGAAGAAACAGAATGTGGACAACGAAAGATGGCTGCCGTCGAGGGACAGGAAACAGCCAGTAAATCAAGTAAGTCCCATTTTTGTGCTAAATGTTTAAAAACTGAATAGTGTGGAAACCCCTTTTCAAAATGTTCTGGTTGTCAGTTAGTACGATACTGTTCAAAAGATTGCCAGAAACAGCACTGGAACGAACAAAAATTATTGTGCAAATCAGTTAGAAAATTTAAAGTTGAGAACAATTCCAATGCTCAGGGAAATCAGGGTATCGGTACATATGTCAGCCATTTGATCCCGGGAGAAAATTCAGGTTTAGTGATAAAAGATGTATGGTACATTATCAGTCTGCTTGTTTTTTAAGGTAGGAATATAACCACTCAGCACAGCATTTTCACGTTGGTGCTACCCACACTGGTACAAACAGTTTTAGTATTCATTATGGCACACTGGTGCACAAGTGTCACTGATCTCAAAAAAATGGCTGGATGAGCAATTGCCTGATGTACCCATAAGGAACATTGAATCTTTATTTAATGACGGAACAGAACTTGACTTAGAAACTCCTAATGGAACACCCATG